TATTAAGAGACACGAAATCGTAACCAGGATAGGCAAGTTATTTTACATCCCATTGGTCTCACTGACTCTCTAAGCTTTTACCTGGTCAAAAATTTCCCATCGGGCCTGTCAACCGCTTCAATAACGTACATGTAATGACACAGCTTTGTTTTGTATGTAGTTTCCTGTTTCTTTGTTATCATAATTATTTTCTTTGTCGTTTTCAACAATATTTATTGAAAGCAAGAAGTATAGTTTACCTTTATGAAATTAAGTTGATATACATAAACATGTATTTATTGTAGTCATTCACTGTGCAACATGTACAGATACACACACTTAATAATATTAATAAATTGTCCTTAGTGATATTTTTATTCAAAATGTGTAAGGACAAAGTTAGTTAAAATTCTATTTCATCATCAAATTAATCTTAGTCTCTGTTTCTAAGACATCTTTTTTTTTTTTTTTAAAAAAATGACGTTATTGAATAACGTCAATGACGTTATTGTTTCATTACAACATGTTGTTTTCAAACACGTCATCTTTTTAAAACTATAGCAAATTAAATCCTCAAATTTTGTGTCCTAAATTTGTTGTAGATTTGAAATATTTGAAAGAGTTAATTTCAAGAATTTTGTTATTAAGACCCTTTTCCCAGAGAACGGTCCATATATATATATATATACACTTATAAATTAATAAATTTTGCAAATAAACTCCGAGACGGTTGCACCAGAGTTCTTACTAACTCCTCTAAGAATACACAAGTTAAAAGCTGATGTCCGTAAACTATATTAAGATTTCACTCGCATAGATAGTATCGTACATTAAATTAAAAGTCTATCCTCATTTTCTATAAACAAGCATGAAATACAATGTAGCAAAAACATGAGTACGGTGGTGTTTCCGGTTGGCGGATCTAAGTTACTGTCAATTTTTAATGACACTGACAACAAGCAATCGTTTATTTATTTCATAAAACGTCATCACTGAATTATTCAAGCAAAACTTGATTTAAATGATATAAAAGAAATAAGTTGTGATACCCGATTGAAAAGTGCAAATTATTTTCGTCATTCACCGATCTTAATATTGACGGAAGCTTCTAGAACATCAAATAGCATCGAACCCGATGTTAAAAAAACGAGGCGATTATGCTGCATGAAAATAAAAAAAAAAGCTTTTGTGTGAATGGTCTTTGAAATATTGATAAATCATTGATAACACTATAAGTTTTGAATATATTTATATATGGAAAGACAATTACATATATTAAGTAGGTTTTCCTAATAAATTTATCGGTAAAATCCTCACTGAGAGCATCGTGGCAACGAACCCGAAGTACAATTTGTACTTCTTAATAAACTTGCTTACATAAAAAGAGAATATTAATGAATAAGGTATTGTTCAAATACAATCAAAGCTGTAAAATTTTGTACTTTAATCAGTACATTTCAGTTATTTTTCTGAATACAGTCTTTTGTATAAAATACTCTGCCCATTCATAGTGCGTTAAAAGCTAATTTTTACACAGGTTCTTGGGTCTTGGTTTATAAATACGTATGTACCTTATTGATACATGTATGTAAAAAAGTAAAGGACATTTTTTACGTATCAATAAGGTACATACATATTTATAAAGCAAGACTCAAGTACCAGTGAATCCCCCCCCCCTCCCTCAAATCAATTTATTAGTAAAATGTGCATATTCGCTGCTTTTATCCTTGAGGGAAATGAAATAAGAGCATCTGAAGTACGTACAATATCAATAACATAGTATAACAGGTTTCACAATAAACGTCAATTAATGAAATTTTTATTTGTTCATTTTTTTTTATAAAGGGGGGGGGGGGTTGAAGACGTAGATCTACTTCATGCAGGATTTTGAACAAAGTATTTCTTCCTGCTATAAGCCTGTAGGCTGTCAGTAGAAACTACAATATATATAATGCGCGGGATTTCATCTGGTATATAAAGAACTTGCATTTAAGTACAAAGCCAATAACTGCAAAATTTTAATCAAGAAATTTTCTATCCGTCGCGTTACAAGCATCAGTTTTACATGTGGCACCATTGCTGTTTAAATACCTTAGGATCTTCATTGCTTTCATTCACTTAATATAAGAAGAAAGGAAAATTAAAAAATGACTTCAAATTGTACAAAATTTTAATGTAACGTTAGGCGGATCGATACGTTTTCGAACCAAGCCATTGTGACGTAGGCAACACAGTTTATACGATATACTTCAGATTTGTTATCCAATCAAATGCGCGAAAAAATTAGAAATTGGATATCCCATATTCGACAATATTGAAAAGTATCATTGCTGAAAATACATTTGTTATAGTATCAATATAATTTCATCAATGACAGTTATCCCGGACACAGAATTGTCTCTCTGTAGCTGCACATTAAAGGAAAGGAAAAAAAATATGTTAAAATCACATTACAATGTTAATTGTACACTGATCTATTTTTTTATTTACAAATTGAATAAAACAACGTAATGCTTGCAATTGTGCATTTCAGATGATTCTGACTTGAAATCTACGGAGAACCATACACGCATATATTACACGCATATGATAATGTGTTAGCTGTTCTCAGGTGTGTTGCTAAAATTTAGGGAAACAGAATTAATAGGGAAATAGAAATTGGTAAATTGGCGTAAACCAATCAGATTTCAGAATTCAGCATGATAGTTTAATAATAAAATGACTAAAAGTTCAAATACATGCAAACAACACAGTGTGGCTAAGGGGAACCTGTCCTATGAATTGCTCATTTAAACGATATATCCGTTACTTTTTTGTTACAAAGAATTTTTCTAATAATATGTGTCAGTAAGTGTAAAATGTATGTAATTTTATGTTCTCCAACTGGATTTTAATCAATTGAAATTGAATTATATTTTAACCGAATAAAGTTGCATTGTGAAGAGACTTATTCTCCCATGAGAGATAATGGAGCAATAAGTCAACAGAGTGTCGGGATGTCGGACGTTTATTTTCTCCAAAGACAACCGGTCACGGTAGCCTAGTGGTAGGGCGTTCGCTTCGTGATCGGGAGACCCGGGTTCGATTCTCGTTTGCCGCGCAGCGTCAAACCTAAAACGTAAACATAGGTAGTGACTGTTCCTTCGCCAAGCGCCCAGCATTAGAGGTGAAAGTCACGGGTCTTTCGGATATGACCTTAACAACGTAGGTCCCGTGTCACGGTGAGCGTTGGCACGATAAAGAACCCTCACTGCTCAATGGCCCTGAGCGCCGACTATAAGTCTAAATTTGAAGCCCTTCTCCGACATACGTTGACTTCTCTATATGAGTGAAAAATTCTCGAATGGGACGTTAAACAATATACAATCAATCAATCAATCTACAAAGACAACCGAACAATTGAATACTAATGCATAATTGAGCAACTTTGATAAACAAGGAAATGAAATTCCGATATAAATTTATTCAACAAATTGCGTTTTTCCTTATCCTGTGCCTTTTCCTGAACTATAGAAATAATACAGTTCCTAGATTAATATTTGATACAAATGAGATCACCAAATACTGTTGATTGTTTACATCACTGTTCATCATTATCCTTATCTAATCGATTTATCTAACAATTGACACTTCCGTTGACTTCATTTAAGCTGCATAACGACAACAAATTAACACGCCGCCAAAATTAGCAAAAAGAAGTTTAAAGTACTTTCATTAATGGGTCTATTCTCACAAAAAAAGTTTCGGACAGGATATAAATTTGATGCTTGGTCTCATTTTACTTGTATGTTGCTATAAAAAAATAATTATGACTTAAATCATTTCCAAGTTGGCATAATTGTTTTACATTCTGTCATAACTAAAATGTCAACAGGAATTCTCTTTTAAAATAACTCATATTAAGTTTGCGAACATTGATAACATACAAACAGCAATAATGTCATTATAAACAGTCTTCGTAAATTACATAAATTTGTTACTTGTGGTATCGGTCTCTCAGCCTAAATACTAGAGAAAGTGTTTGATATTTTAAAGATGATATATTTAAAACTTAATTTGCATGTTCGAAAATCGAGAATTTTAATGTCTCCTTACAGGCATCAGTTTTACACCTGGCACCATTACTGTAATTTCAATACCTTAGGATCTGCTTTGGTACGTGTAGCAAGCTTCAAAAAAGCAAGCGTTTAAATCTGGGAAGCGGTTTATAAAGAAAGTGTTAACTGTTCCAACGGGGCTAATATCGTATACATAGGGTACATGTAGCTATTATATTCATTCCTTATGATTTAATTTTCATTAACTTAATATAAAAAAAAGAAGTCAAATGTCCTTAAAAATGACTTCAAATTGTAAAAAATGTAAAAGTAACTTCAGGCGGATCAATATGTTTTTGACCCAAGCCATTGTGACCTGGGCAACACAGTTTATGATTTTTTTTTATCCAATCAGATAGCGGATCAATATGTTTTGGACCAAAGCCATTGTGACCTGGGCAACACAGTTTATGATTTTTTTTTAATCCAATCAGATAACGGATCAATATGTTTTGGACCCAAGCCATTGTGACCTGGGCAACACAGATTATACGATTTTTTTCCCAACAAATAGCGCGTTACAACCATAATTAAAATATATTAATTATGCAGTTTATGACGTACACGCAAATATTCATCTTTTTTGGTGTCCTTTCAATGAAACATATTTTTGGTTATCATGGATTATTCCTGTAATTTTGATCATGTGTTTAAGGAAATTTAAGAAAAGAAAGCTAAGAAGATTAAACAATATTTAAGAACATCATTGCTGAAAAAAAAATTATAGTGTGAATATAATTTGATCAGAGATAGAGTTATCTCGGACACAGGATTGTTTCTGTGTAAGTGCACTGAGAAATTTTAAAGATACGAAAAAGAAAAAAAAATGATATAGAAACATATTACAATCTTAATTGAACACTGATCTCATTAGCTATTCTTTTCTTACAAATTGATTGAACAACGTTATGCTTGAAATCTCACCTGATAAAACACACTTGGAATTCCCCAGTGACTGATGGATGCATTTTTCATTGATCGAACAAGATTGTTCTGAGCAAGACCCCGTGAGACCCTGAAAATTATTTTACGAATAATTACTTTTTTTCAACAAATGAGCACAGTAAATAAGATAATGATATTAAGGCGTTATGACATCTTTTATCTAAGAAAAAGCGAAGCGGTACATGTATCGAAAAGCATTGAACATACCGGTAGTTTAAACAAATTACTATCTAAAGTTTAAAGGCAAATAACATCAATTAATTAATATTTGGACAGTGTATGGTCAGTAGCAAAACTATGCCCGCTTTTATAATATTGATTTCAAATCACACTTGTTTTGACTATTTATTTTTTAAAAAGTTCTCAAGCAATTATAAATTCTTAAATGGGACGTAAAACAACATACAATCAAGCAAGCCACTAAAAATATGTAGTTGATGTCAGCAATCGACTATGAATTCCACGATAACTAAGACATATTACAATTACAAAGACAGTACACTGTAAAAATATTTACATATTAAGTGAAATATGTTTGTATAACTGATAATATCAGTTAAGCCTAACATTTATTCAAATTGATTGTAATAGAGGAGCAATATTGCATAACAATTGCAGAGGGAATTCCTGGAGGAATCGCTCTATCGTATAGTGTGCATTCAATTCTCTCTTCTCTCATAGATGATAGATAGATAGACAATTCCATAGACTATCTAGATAGCTAGATATTTACCTTGTCCCAGTTCTTTATGTCAGTGTATATCCAGCCCGAATCTTCTCTGTACATTTCTGGTTCAGTTGTGTTACTCTCAAAGTTATTTTCACAAAAGTTTGCTCCTTTGTAATAATTTACCGACTGGCACCTTGTAGTTCTTAGACATTCCTCAACACAGTCTAATATACTATAGTTCAGATAAGATTCTATCATTCTCTGATATAATCTGTATCCAAATTGTAATGTAGAATAACTTTCTTTTAAACTTCCATTACAACATAAAATGATATTAAACACGGTAAACAAGGACTTTAGATATTTGAAGTTTTGCATGACTCCTACTCCCTATAATAAGCAAGGCGAATCCTCTGGTTTTCAAATGCAGTGTTCAGCGACATACCATTCTATTTAAGCCTTCCTATTAATCAATATAAACAGTTTAAAATATTCATTAATGACACATAGATAAAGTTTTACCTTGTTTTCACGACATAGCTGGGGTTCGAGGAAAAAAATTCAGAATATCCTACGATTCGAAATATTCGGGGAAAATACTTAAAAAGTGTTTGGAACTTCCGGATCAGTTCGGTATTTCCATGGCATTCGAGATATCGATGTTAAAGATACTGAAATTCAACTGTGCATAATCGCTAAACAAACACATCCAGCTGAAGAGGAACAATCGAGGCATAATTTCACAGCGTTCTCTCTGAATTCTATGCAAAATAGTCTAAAATGTCAAAATTAAATATAAACAAATAACATTGAAGTAATTTCCCAGGATTTCGCCTACTACAAGGTTTAAATGAAAAGTACCTATTACTATAAATAGATGAACGCACTGGTTATAGAGAAAATATCAAATCCAGTTCTCAGTTTTATGAAAAATAATAATTCTAGTCGCGATGGTGAACGTGATATGTAATTTTTACTTTTCCTTGAAACTTGATTCAGATTTCATTTATATTTCTATTTTTATGTAAGCGAGTATGGCATACAGAATGGGACCCCTGACTTAGACCCATCGCTTATTCAATGATTTGTTAACAAGTTAATATTTCAATTGAACTCAAATATATTACTTTCTAGGGTAAAACTGGGTAACTAGGGTAAAACTGGGTAAATGAATTAGGCCTTCTGTAGGTGGGGCTTCGACTGAGAAAACACTATTGTCAAACTATCTGAAAGCCGTATACTGTTTTTCTTCTTTCACCCTTATAAATTTATGGGTTCAAAGTGGAAAAACTGCATTTAATTTCACTGAATAAAGTTTAAATTAATTAATTAATAAGAGCCAAAAATGTAAAGGTTGCCATATTTTTAAGATTAAGACATACATAAACTGAAGTATACGCCAGCAGACAAAAAAATCGCACATTTTATTAAACAGTATTATAAAATAAGTGTAACCAGAAGTCTCTGATGAGACTGTAGCTCTACTGGTCTGTTTGTATAACAAAAGAAAAGTAGCACTTGGATTTGAAACATTGCAACATGCAACAATAAATAGAATTATGTATCTTAATGTAGTCTACTTTTGTGACAAGTTATATTGAAATCAAATGAAAACTAGGAGTAGTAGCGTTTTGAAAGTATTTCACGGAAATTTCTATTTTTAGTAACCATGACAACACCATTCACCCAAATAAAAAAAAAACAGAAATACATATTATGTATCGTAGTGTATTCTAGCTGTGTGCCAAATTAGATTGAAATCAGACCAAAATTGTAGGAGGAGTAACGTTTTAAAGGAATTTCAAAGAAATTTTTATTTTAAGTAACCATGGCAACACTGTACAACATCGAATTCAAAAACCAATGCAATAAATTATGTATCTTAGTATAGTCTTCTTGTATGCCTAATTATATTAGAAGCAGACTTAAACTGTAGCAGGAGTAGTGTTTTAAAGGAATTTCACAGAAATTTCTATTTTCAGTAACCATGGCAACACCGTCCATTGAATTCAAAAACCGATGCAATAAATTATGTATCTTAGTGTAGTCTACTTGTGTGCCAAGTTATATTGAAATCGGACCAAAACTGTAGGAGGAGTAGCGTTTTAAAGGAATTTTAAAGGAATTTCACAGAAATTTCTATTTTTAGTAACCATGGCAACATCGTCCATCGAAATCAAAAACCGATGCACTAAATTATGTATCTTAGTGTAGTCTACTTGTGTGCCAAGTTATATTGAAATCGGATCAAAACTGTAGGAGGAGTAGCGTTTTAAAGAAATTTCACAGAAATTTCTATTTTTAGTAACCATGGCAACACCGTCTATCGAAATCAAAAACCGATGCACTAAATTATGTATCTTAGTGTAGTCTACTTGTGTGCCAAGTTATATTGAAATCGGACCAAAACTGTAGGAGGAGTAGCGTTTTAAAGGAATTTCACAGAAATTTTTATTTTTAGTAACCATGGCAACACCGTCCATCGAAATCAAAAACCGATGCACTAAATTATGTATCTTAGTGTAGTCTACTTGTGTGCCAAGTTATACTGAAATCGGACCAAAACTGTAGGAGGAGTAGCGTTTTAAAGGAATTTCACAGAAATTTCTATTTTTAGTAACCATGGCAACACCGTCCATCGAAATCAAAAACCGATGCACTAAATTGTGTATCTTAGTGTAGTCTACTTGTGTGCCAAGTTATATTGAAATCGGACCAAAACTAGGAGGAGTAGCGTTTTAAAGGAATTTCACAGAAATTTCTTTTTTTAGTAACCATGGCAACACCGTCCATCGATATCAAAAACCGATGCACTAAATTATGTATCTTAGTGTAGTCTACTTGTGTACCAAGTTATATTGAAATCAGACCAAAACTGTAGGAGGAGTAGCGTTTTGAAAAATTGTTTACAGACAGACGGACAGACAGACAGACAGACAGACGGACGGACGACGGACACCTTACTATCGCATAAGCTCTTCTGGTCTCTGACCAGTAGAGCTAAAAACTGGTTCAAATTCATAACTATGAAGGTGAAAGATCCAAAATAATCGTTTATTTATGAACATAATATAACTGTGAATATGAGGGAAATCATTTTACATTAGAAGTACTATATAGAAAATGCCTGAATGAAGATACATTATAAAGAGTTATTGCCCTTAGCAACATTTTTAAAGATTTAATTATTTATTAAGTAAAAAAAATATTCAATTTTTTAAAAATCCTTTTACTAAACAGTATTTTTCATTACGCCTATTGAAAAGCATTTTTCAAAAAGATATGTCTATTGCATGTGAATTTAAATAATAACCTTTTTTCATAAAAACCTACACGCTCGCTTCGTGATCGGGAGGCCGTGAGTTCGAATCTCGGCCGCGACTGACCTAAGTCGATAAAAAATGGTTAGCAACTGTTCCTTCGCCATGCGCTCGACATTTGGAAGTGAATGTTGCGGGTCCTTCGGATGAGACCTTAAAAACCGAGACCCCGTGTCACGGCAGGCGTTGGCATTTTAAAGATCCCTCACTGCTCAATGGCCCTGAGTGCCGAGTAAAGTTCAAAATTTGAAGCCCTTCACCGGTATATTGGTGGCGTCTCTATATGAGTGAAAAATTCTCGAATGGGACGTAAAACAACATACAATCAATCAATCAATTGATCCAAAAACCTACGACATAACAGGAGAGTGGAAATACCGTAAATACCAAACAAGAGCTTCATGGGCCTAGACTTCTAATATCAAATTGCAGATTGGTAACCTAACAACCAATTTATGATGTACGTGAAGACGTCAACTTTTAAATCGTCAACTTTTCTTACTTATGTAGCAATACACCCCTACCTCTTGCATACTGGGTTTATGTCTTTCGGTTGAATCGATACGCAAGAGCATGCTCTACATACGAACAATTTCTATCGTCGATACAATGACATTGTCAGCAAATACAATCTATCATTTAATCAAATGCTGACTGATGCATTTCTTTCATACTAATTGTTGTTAGACCATTATTATTTATACACCGAATTGTCTACGGATTTTCTGCTTTTCTCGATCATGACAAAAAGCACAAGGCGAGTGTAACCGGTCGACAGGGGATGCTCACTCCCTCATGGATCCCACCTCTGATGATTTAGAGGTCCTTGTTTGCTCTGCTCCTGATTTGTATTGTTCGAATGGACTTTTGAGCTTGAGTACAGTTCGTAATCTCCATATTTATTTTTATTGCATTAATTTTAATTACGTTGGTCCAACCTTTAAGGTCCCAAGGACCATAGAGTTGACAGGTTTTGTCCCCATTCGTGTGTAAGTGTTACGTACCAACTGCAATTAAAACAGGAAACCTGTTGGGATAAATATAATCAAAACAGCCCCCAGTAAAAGTATAAATAAAAAGGCCTCTGAGCTATGATTCAGGACTTTGGTTGGAGCTAATTTACTCAGGTTATGAAACTTCACTACACATTTCCAAAAGTCAGATTGTAGTTTGCATTTTTAGATTCAGGGGAATTAAAGAAACTATTGTGATTCAGGTTAGTGATGAGTTGTATTAGGTTAGGTTTGGCTAACTCCCCCTTTCTTTACAGCAAAAATGTATTTTAGGTGTGGGCAATTTGTTTACAGTTTTTAGCTCTACTGGTCAGAGACCAGAAGAGCTTATGCGATAGTAAGGTGTCCGGCGTCCGTCCGTCTGTCTGTCTGTCTGTCTGTCCGTCTGTCTGTAAACAATTCTTCAAAACGCTACTCCTCCTACAGTTTTGGTCCGATTTCAATATAACTTGGCACACAAGTAGACTACACTAAGATACATAATTTAGTGCATCGGTTTTTGATTTTGATGGACGGTGTTGCCATGGTTACTAAAAATAGAAATTTCTGTGAAATTCGTTTAAAAAGCTACTCCTCCTACAGTTTTGGTCCGATTTCAATATAACTTGGCACACAAGTAGACTACACTAAGATACATAATTTAGTGCATCGGTTTTTGATTTTGATGGACGGTGTTGCCATGGTTACTAAAAATAGAAATTTCTGTGAAATTCCTTTAAAACACTACTCCTGCTACAGTTTTAGTCTGCTTCTAATATAATTAGGCATACAAGAAGACTATACCAAGATACATAATTTATTGCATTGGTTTTTGAATTCGATGAACAGTGTTGCCATGGTTATTTAAAATAGAAATTTTTGTGAAATTCCTATTAAATGTTACTCCTCCTTCAATTTTTGTCTGATTTCAATCTAATTTGGCACACAGTTAGAATACACTCGATACATAATATGTATTTCTGTTTTTTTTATTTGGGTGAATGGTGTTGTCATGGTTACTAAAAATAGAAATTTCCGTGAAATACTTTCAAAACACTATTCCTCC